CGAGTCAGCGGCCCCAACTCATAGCGACCCCTCCTTGGGTTTCCGAGGCAGTATCACTACGGAAGTAGGGTTGCCCAACCTTCCTTCCGAGGAGTGGTGGTGGGTTTAAACCGCCAGCCTTCTGGTTAGCAGTCAAGTGCCTTAGATATATATATATACTTTTACAACTTAACAAAAAGAAAAACAACCCAATCAAAAACTGGGCAAAGGACTTGAGCCAACATTTCACCAAAGAGGGCATTCAAATGGCCAATAAGCACACACAAAGATGCTCAATGTCATTAGTCCTTCCAAACCAAACCCACTGCCATCCAATCAAATTCAACTCATAGAGACCCTTTAGGACAGAGTAGAACTGCTCCATAGGGTTTCCAAGGCTATAAAATCTTTACAGAAGCAGAGTGCCTCATCTTTCTCCTTCAGAGTGGCTAGTGGGTTCAAACTGTTGACCTTTTCATTAGGAGTCAAGTGCTTTAACCACTATGAAACCAGAGCTCCTTATCAGTCACTACAGAGATGGAAACCAAACCCATAATGGCTATCTATAGGGTTGCTATGAGTCAAAATCAACTTGGTGGCACACAACAACAGGATGGCTAAGATAAAAGGAAAATAACAAATGTGGAAAGGTTTGGTGGTTCCTCAAAAAAGTGAACACAGAACTACCACACGACGCAGCTAACACCACTCCTAGGTATAACCCACGAGACTTGAAAGCAGTGATGCAGACAGACACATATACCAATGTCCACTGCAGCACTGTTCACAATAGCCAAAAGGTGCAAACAATCTAAATATTCATCAATGGATGAATGGATAAACAAAACGTAGTACACACATACAATGGAAAACACTTAGACTTAAAGAGGAATAAAGTCCTAATAATGTGCTACAACATGAACCTTGCAAACCTTATGCTGAATGAAATAAATCAATCACAAAAGGACAACTGATTTCACTTATATGAAACAACAAAAAGAGGCTGATGTATAACACCAAAATTAATCTTGTTAAATGGTTAATCAAGTGGTTACCAGGGGCAAGAGGGAGGTGAAAAGAAGGAATCAAGGTTTAAGAAGCAGTGAGTCTGTTTGTGGGGATGGGAAATTTGGCAACGATTATGGGTTGTACATGATTAATGAAATTGATAACACTAAACTGTACACTTGAAAAATGTTAATTTTAAAAAAATTATTTGTTCTACTATTTGATAGATGTAGTAGCATAAAAAACATTAATTATCTGTGTTGTTTCAAGTTAAGAAAAAGGAATATAAAAATATGTTAATCTCAGTTGGTCCTGTAACAAACATTCTAAGTAATCTTTTTACCTCTCCAAAAACCCAATTTTAAATAGCCCATTCTCTCAAATCTGTTTCTTGCATATACTTGTTATGGCACTTAACATGATATATATTGTATTACTTCATCAACTGCTTTGGGGAAGATAAGGATTTAAAATTTGAACCAATAAACTAACACTTGCATAACTAAAATTTATAATTGAATGCTGCTCTAGAAAGAAGAAAGTAAGACAAAATATTTACTTGATCATTGTCAGGTTCTGTCTTAATTTCATCTAGCCGCCGCTGCAGCTGTGGAGCCACGGCCTTGTCACATTCACCATCCAACAGTGGTTCTTTCATTTTTAGTATCTGATGCAAAGGAGTCCTCCAGTTTCAAACAAATGAGTTTCTTCTAAAGAGTTTCTGGATTTTCTAAAACACATTATAAATTGATGCCTCATTTAAAAATTAGTTCTTTTCATATGTGATAACTGTGCAGGAATAACAAAATGGTCTTTAGACAGCTCAGCCTCAAGATTCCTTCAGAGGACCAACACTAGTTTCCCCCATCTATTATTCCTCAATATACTGTTTTGCTTTCCACTCCTCTAATAGATAACACCTCTATGTTTTCCTCTGGGACTCTTCTTCTCCATTCCTATTCTGTTAGGCTTGGCCACAGAGGGCAGGGGTGGTTCAGTGGTAGAATTCTTGCCTTCTAATGGGGCAGATCTAAAATATGGGCAAAGGATTCCTAGCCAATGCACCTGAAGTGCAGTCACTATCCCTCTGTCAGTAGAGGCTTGCGTGTTGCTATAATGCTGAACAGGTTTCAGTGGAGCTTCAGACTAAGATGGACTAGGAAGAAAGGCCTGGCAATCTATTTCTGAAAATCAGTAAGGAAAATGCTATCAATCACAATAATCCAATCTAAAACTGATCATGGGGATGCTGCAGGACCGGGCATTGTTTTGTTCTGTTGCACATGGGGGATCACAAGTCAGGAACTGACTTGACAGGAGCTAACAAAAAAACAGGCTTGCCTGCAGCATAAGACAATCAAATCTAAAATGGTAAAGGCTTCTTCCATGTTAATTTAATCCTATGACTTGTACTCTGGATCTCACTACCCCTCTCTGACCTCCTACAGAGCCAGTTATCCTCTCTTGCCAGCACCTTCAACTCCTCTCACCCTTCTTATAGGCTCCTTTCACATAAACATTTAAATGTATTTAAGGATTCAACCTCTAAAGCTACTGCTTTTTGTCTGACCACTCATTTCTAGAATCCTAGATCCTCTAAACCAAACCCAAACCCACTGCTATCAAATCAATTCTGACTCATAAACAACTCCTCAGAAGAGAGCACAACCGTCCCACAAGGTTTCCAATATTTATAGAAGCCGACTGCCACACCCTTCTCCCGCAGAGTGGCTGGTAGGTTCAAACCTCCCATCTTTTGGTTAGTCGAATGGTTAACCACTGCACCAGGGCTCCTTCTAAGAGCTACTTTTCTTCCTACTTCTTTCCCAGACTTCTTCACAAACATTTATTTCATTTGCTGCTAAAATATTTGTGTTTCTCCAAAGCACCGTTCCCCAGGATTCCTCCCTCTCACTTGCTCTGTGGGCTGCACCTCTGATTCAACTATCATCTATAGCCTGATTTTACCTTGTATTTCTGAGTTCCAGCTGTTTGTCTGCCTATTATATACCTCCACCTGGATGTTCCACATGTCCCTCAAGCTTAAGAGATTTAAAATTATACTCTTATATTATCCCACAAACCCTTTACACATCACGTTCCCTTTCTTAGTAAATGTCAACGTCATGTACTCAACTTCTAAGCCAGAGATCTAGTAGCCCCAGGTTCCTCTTTCCCCAAACTCTCCACACCTCATCACCAAACTGGATCACATCCACCTTCTAAATATGTCTTTAATCTGTTTTACCATTACATGCAATGCCTGCTTTCCTACTCTCTACTCATCACCCAACTCAAATCAGTGGATTCTTTCTTGGTAAAAAGATAATTAAAATACAAAATCACAGTATAAAAGGTTGAGCAGATTTTTAAAAAATAATTCCTATTATAATTTTTGAGGAACCATAGGAGCTTTTTGTAACTTAGCCCCAGGGCCTGTTTTTCAAGGACTGACTGGCTCCCTGAATTCTTTTTTTCCATAAGAGAGGGACTTACCTTTGGGAACAGCCACCTGTGATTCTGCATCCTCTGGAATGCTTTCTTTTTTTGCCACCCTACCTTGGCTACAAAGTTCAAGTCCCCTGGTCTCCTGGATTCCTCTTGTATTGGATCCCCATACACACTCTTTTAAAAAAGGCTTCATACCTAATTATTATGGAGGACGGGGATAACTAAAATAACAAATATGAAGATGTTAAAGTTCTTACAAGAGGAAACGCAGGTCTACAGTTTTATTCTGAGTTAATACAAGAAAGAACTAAAAGATTCTATCGTCTTTTATTACTGAGGCTGGGACTCAACTGCCTCCTCCACCTTCCTATCTTTAACTCAGTTTTTACTAAAAGCTTCTATTCCAAGACAGAAAATTAAATAATCAAATAAGCCTAAAGATGCCACTGATGAAAATCAAAGAGTACACCCTTCATCATGGATTAACCTCAACAAAAAGAAAACAAAAATCCTCACAACTGGACCAATAAGCAGCCAATCACATTAAATGGAGAAAAGATTGAAGTTGTCAGAGATTTCATTTTACTTGTATCCATAATCCACGCCCGTGAAAGCAGCAGTCAAGAAATCAGATGACCTGGGCAAATCTGCTGCAAAAGACCTCTTTAAGTGTTGGAAGCAAAGACGTCACTTTGAAGACTAAGGTGTGCCTGACCTAAGCCATGGTATCTTCAATTGCCACACAGGCATGTGAAAACTTGACAATGGATAAGCAAAACGGAAGAAGAATTGATGCCTTTGAATTGTGGTACTGGCAAAGAATACTGAAAATATCATGGGCTGCCAAAAGAATGAACAAATCTGTCCTGGAAGAAGTGCAGACAGAATGCTCCTTGGAAGTGAGAATGGCCAGACTTTGTCTCGTGTAGTTGGTCATGTTGTCAGTAAGGGCCAGTCCCTGGAGAAGGACATCATGCTTGGTAAAGTTGTTGTTGTTGTTGTTATGTACCGTCGAGTCGGATCCGACTCATAGTGACCCCTCCTTGGGTTTCTGAGGCAGTATCACTACGGAAGTAGATTGCCCCATCTTCCTTCCGAGGAGTGGCTGGTGGGTTTGAACCACCAGCCTTCTGGTTAGCAGTCAAGTGCTTTAGGCACTATGCTACCAGAGCTCCCGCTTGGTAAAGTAGAGGGTCAGTAAAAAGGGGAAGGCCCTCAACGACGTGGCTTGACACAGTGGCTGCAATGATGTGCTCAAGTATAGCAAAGGCTGTGAGTGTAGCAGGATCTAGCAGTGTTTCATTCTGCTGTACACAAGGTTGCCATGAGTTGGAGCTGAGTGGACAGCACCAAACAACAACAAAGATGCCATTAAGAGAAAACAAAGTTGCATTACTAACCTTGTTTCACATTAATCTTTTAATTCCTCCCCAAGATACTTGTTCTCACACAGTTCTTTCTTAAGAAGTCATTTCTGCCTTTTCAATCCTACTCATTTTCTAAACTGTCTCATCTCTAGATCTTATCAGATTGGTAAGATTTATAAATAAAACTGATAAATTCAGCCATTACAGAGTAACCATTATCATTCTAACCCTCCCACTGAAAACAATTATAAAATTAAGGGACTTTACCCCTGAGGCCACCATCTGTCTGTCAGTTTGTGCTAGGTGGTTGCTTGTGTGTTGTCATGATGCTGGAAGCTATGCCATGGGTATTGCAAATACCCATAAGACATCCATGGTGGACAAGTTTCAGTGGCGCTTCCAGACTAAAAGTCACGGAGAACAAAGGGTTTGACAATCTATTTATGAAAAGCAGCAATGAAAACTTTACAAAAAGAAACAGAATACTGTCTGCTACAGTGTCAGAATATGAGCCCCTTAGGTTGGAAAGCACTCAAAAAATGACTAGGGAAGAGCTGCCTCCTAAAAGCAGCCTAAACTTTAATGATATGAGTGGAGTAAAGCCTCCCAAAACTCCATTTGCTGATGTAGGATGACTCAAAATGAGAAGTAACAGCTGCAAACATCCATTAGTCACCAAAACATGGGATGTACATATGAATCACTGAAAATTGGAAGTCATCAAAAAATTAAATGGAACACTTAAAGACTGATATCCTAAGAGTTAGTGAGCTGAAATGAACTAGTATTAGCCATTTTGAATCCAACAATCATATGATCTATTATGCTAGAAACAACAAATTTAAGAAGCTAGATATTGCATCCATCATTAAAAAGAATATTTCGAGTTCAATGACAGGTTAATATCAGTATGTCTACAAAGATGACCAGTTAATAGCACTATTATTCAAATTTATGTACCAACCACAAATGCCAAAGATGAAGAAACTGAAAAATTTTACTAACTTCTACAATCTGAAATTGATCGAACATGCAATCAAGATGCACTGACAGTTACTGGTGATTGGAATGCAAAAGTTGAAAGCAAAGAAGCAGGAACAGTAGTTACAAAAATACAGCCTTGGAGAGAGAAACACACTGGAGATCACATGATAGAATTCTGTAACACCAATGACTTATTCACTGGAGTTACTTTTTTTCCACAGCACAATCAACAGCTATATACTTGGACCTCACTGGATGGATTATATAGGAATCAAATCAATTATATCTGTGGAAAGAAACAATGGAGAAGCTCAATACCATCAGTCAAGACAAAGCCAGATCTCAACTGGCATAACTTACTACACACAAAAACAGTGTTCTACATCCACCTTTGGTAAGTAGTGACTAGGGTCTTAAAAGCTTGCAAGCAGTTACCTAGATGCAACAGTGGGTCTCTCCTTGTCCAGAGCAAAGAATAATGAAGAAAACCAAAGACACATGGAAACAATAAGTCCAGGGAACCAGTGGACCATGTGAACCTCAGCCTATAACTATGAGACCAGAAGAACTAGATGGTGCCCAACTACCACTGTAAACCACTCAGAAAGGGATCAGTGCAGCAGATCCTGGATAGTGTGGGAGAACAATGTGGAACAAAACTCAAAATCATAAAAAAAAAAAAATCAAGTTTACTGGTCTAATAGAGTTTTGTGAGACCCCTGATACTATGGCCCCTAGTAACCTTCCAGATGGAATTGAATTCACTTCTATGGGTTCCAGTCAAACATAGACAGGCTACAGAGTGAACATTTACATCGGATAGATACACTCCTTAGAATGATCAATCATGGGAGAA